CCTTTCCATTTTTGCTAGTCGAACCGCGGGAAATATGGGAGAAATTACACTAAGACCATTCTGCACACGCAACAGCAAGTAATGCACGCACCCGGCAATACTAAGGTCAAGTAATGACCAATCATCACAGTTCTCTGCTTTCAAAGGACTTGCGTTGCTAATTTGAATAAGCATTAGATTTATAACCAATTTAAACCAAAATTTTTTAAAAGTTCGTGTGTTTGCATTTTGGTTTTGTGTAAAAATAAGTTTATTAAAATTAAGTTTTTTATTTCGCATAAACAAGTTAGCCGAATTTCGGAATTCGAATACAGCGAATATTGCAAAGATCTAGGGGTTATCTTGTATCAGCAGTTATAACAAAAACAGCTTCTGATCAGGCAGACTTCTGTTTAATCACTCTTTTGGTAAAGTCGTCACTGTAATATCTGCAACCATTCCACTGAATCCAGAACTACATCCTGTGAACATTCATGACGTTAACTATTTGCTTCCTGGTCTTTCAATGGACTCAAAACATTTTAATTGTTGCTTTTAATGCAGAAGAAAACAGTGACTTGAGTTGATTAAGTTTTATCTCTAGTTATGTCACGTCCTTTGCGGTCTACATATGTAGAGAATAAGAGAACCAAGAGTTAGAGTTCAATCTATTTTAAGTATTCCCCACGCTATGCGAGTGAATGCTAAATATGCGGATGGTCACCAGTGTGAAATCCTTCCTACTAACCTTGGTTTTCTAGCCTGGGTACACTTTGGATCAGCGTATACAGTAGTATCACTGCCAGAAATACGATCAAACCAACTGATTCGCGCAGGCAATTTGTCACCTGAAGGAGATTTTACACCGCAGGCTTATACCCGAATACCTCTCCCGAGTTTTTGCTTAGTAGACCGCAGCCGGATGATGCTCCGCTCAACCACAGAACCCACGAGTTTCATAACACGTGGACCTTTGCACCGACTAACATCCCCAGTGAGCAACCGCCTAAGCATCCCTAGGAGGAAATGAAGTTCGCTCCAAGACTCATCAGATATATTATCAACAACTGGTCTAGACAATAAATGATGTTGAATTTGACACCACCAACCACTCAGTCACCTAGTAGCTGCGTCCAAAGAGGGTGTGGAAGACAGCCGGTTTCGTGCAGAGTGGGTGCCGGAGGCACGGCGAGCCATCGGTCACCGGTCCCGTCTCTAAACCGCCTAACTCTCCCGCAAAGGGAATGCACAGGGACTTGGCACCCATTGAGGGCGCTCCAGGGATCACAACCACGTTCCTACAGTGAAAGTTAAGAAACCGATTAAATGATGAATACATTTACAATTGATATGAGAAATCAGGTTCTAGCAACCGTCCCATGTACGTAACATCGGACCAAGCAACTTCGAAATCCTTACTCATATTTTCGGCAAGACTTAAATTTCATCTGGAATACCGTTTTTTTAAAGTAAATAGCGTCATATTGCTGAATGGACTACCGACTCAATGTAGCGTAGAGACATTGTTGTATCTCTAGCCGGTTATAAAACCCGACCCACCATGGAAGCCGAGTAAGGGATGGGAAACACCGGATAGAAGTGACAAAACTCACTCTGAAGACTCGGCGCGAACCGCATCTTCACAAAGCGCGTCGCCACAAAAGGGTGCCACGACGATACACTTCTTGTCCAGTGCGCTAGCCAATTCTTCCATGTTCTTTGCAGGTAGGATATGCGAGTTCTGGATGCTAGTAGCCCGAGATAGCATAAGATCGTGGATGTCATCCAGCATGCGCTTCACAGTAGCAGTCAGCCGGCTCAGCGGAATAGTGGTCTATGCAAAGGAGGGGAAAACAGACACGCGTGCTTTTAGGGATAAAAATAAAAGCTGGAATGGAGGACAAAATTCAACATTGTGTTTAATTTCCAAGCGTTGACGTCTTGCTGTTAATTTCCATCGATTCGAAAAGTGCTGTGGCTGTTAATGCCAAAAATCAAACACCAAGATTGCCTCTTTTCAGGCTTTCACGAAACTCAACTTATGACTCCTGTACCATTAGTCTCCAGATGGACAGGTAAAGCGCTATAGATGATGATGAGGAGGACAAATCGGATTTACCTTTTCTCCAGTGTATCGCACCACCGCAGTGACCTCGCCCTTCGCCAGATCCTTAAATCCTACCTCCAAGCGCAGAGGTACCCCCTTCAGCTCCCAGTGATTAAACTTCCATCCCGGAGAGACATGGTCCCTGTCATCCAGATGCACCCTCAAGCCTGCCTCCTCACCTAGAACTGCCGTGATGGTCTTCACTTGCTCTAGCAGCTCTGAACGCTCTAACTCCGTGGTCTTTGCCGTCACGCCACAAGGTACTACCACCACTTGGTATCTGGCAACGCGTGGTGGGAGGACGAGACCCTGGTTGTCTGAGTGCACCATGATCATTACACCGATGGTACGCGTAGTAATGCCCCAGGAGTTCTGGTAGACATAGCACGGCTGATTGGTCTCGGGATCCTCGAACATCACTTCGAAAATCTTGCTGAAGTTCTGCCCCAAGTGATGTGAGGTGGCACCTTGAATGGCACGACCGGAGGCCTCAATGAAGACTTCCACGGTGGTGGTGTATTCACCGCCAGGAAACTTCTCTCGCTCCGTCTTTCGACCTTGATGGAAAGAGAGGGAGTGCGGAGGATGCAAAAGTGGGTGAGGTGGTGTCTAGATCACAGTAACTCAAAAAAGGCTATGAAACTGTCATCGAGAAAAAATTATCAAGTACTAGAACACCACAGTGGATTCCTCATCCTAGTTGAAGTGATAGTTCCACATCTATTGCTCCTATGTAGTAGAATGCGTTGATGATAGACCTAACAACGCGGTCGGCATATTAGTCCCACGGCGTTCTATCCACGTCTATAGGCCCCCCCGCTCCCAGCCCTCCTCCAATGTTATTAATAGATTTTATTGCAGATAGGTTTGCTACGAAAGACTTTATTTTCAGCTCTTAATAAACCAATTCGTAGTTGCAGAATCTGTGACATAATTGGCTTTACTTATGCCCATTTCTGTGGCCCAAGTCCTTCACCTGCTGAATCACCAGCTTCTGCCCTCACTTTGTCAGATCAGGAGGCGCTGGCGTTTATTTGATGTCATCAGTCGGGCCGGTCTTGTAAATCGGTGGTGGACATTGTCAACAAAACTTCAGTTATATGCTATCACAATAATAGGCCTTAGCTAAATGCAAGCTGCCATGGCGAAAAACATGTCAACCCGAACTACTGGTTTCAGAATAGGCCTTTCGTATGACCGAGATCAAAATTTAAAATCAGTTTTTTTAGCGGCCAGGTAGATTCTCATCCTCTGTCATAGCGTTGACCCCAAAAAGGATAACTTGGTCAGAAGTATTCCAAAAAGACAGTTGCTACTGCATAAAACACGCGTAATAATAATGTGTCCACAAACCAACCGTCTCTCGACCGTGAATACAGGAAAAGTTTTTTTTTTTGCTTAAAAAACGCGAGGAAAGGTGGCAACAGCTCCAGCTTCTATGTTGTAAGCATTTATTTGTGCTTGTAAGCCACCTATCTATCATTTCATCTAACCTTCCAAGTTAGAATCACATTTGCTGTGATCCACCGAGGAGGTCTTACGAATTTGTGTCAGCCGACGTCAGTACCGGTATCAATAGTCATCACATAAGTATTCAATTTCAAATGTTTATCCACTCACTAAGAACAATCAAATGACTAATTTAAAACGTTTAAGTAAAAGTGGAGTAAATACCACAGTGAACCTTATCACCAATGCAAAATCACTGGCTGCAGTTATTACCGAGCTGACGAGGCACTGACTTGACTTGGTCATGAATGTAAGGTCAGGAGCTGAGTCGACTCAAAAGCTTCCATAATATACGTTACTTCGAACACACTCACCTCTAATACAGGGGATGGCCAAGAGATCGTTGTAGATGCTTCGATAGAGGTTCAATATGGTCAACACCTCCGCTTCAGCCTCCTCCTTTGAGGCGAAAGCTGTGTGACCCTCTTGCCAGAGGAACTCACGAGTTCTATAAAGAGAGAAAGAAACGCAAAGCAGTTAATCACAATTTCTCTTCAAACCACCACTATATTTTAGAAAATGGAAGGAGTACTGACCTCAGGAATGGAGTTGGATGCTTAAACTCCCAGCGAACGATGTTGCTCCATTGATTAAGCTTGAGAGGAAGATCACGATGCGATTTAATCCACTTTGCAAAGGCTGGATACATGATTGTCTCGCTCGTTGGTCGTAGTGCGATCGGCTCTGCCAGGTCCGATGAGCCCGAACGTGTCACCCATGCAACCTGTTAGGAGGGGGTGCATGATAATGCAAGTCTACAGATACTGTAGGACTAGTAATGGCAGTCAGTTGGATAATTAACTAGCTGGAAGGCAATTGTTTGCTTAAATTCGCCCTAGTTATTTCCTGCATTTCAATGGCCTATTAAGCGTCCCAGTTGAAGTTTGGGCCTATTTCAGATGGAATAAGCACACATTTTAGTCCTATCTAGGGGCACAGCTAGCTAGTGTGGAGTTTCTGGATCCAATAAGGCACGCACCATGACTCAAGCAATTTGGCACCACCATGAGTTTGGAATGTATGCATTCACACTGGTTGCATTATCAGAGCTTTGATTCTAGCAATGTGGGGAACTCTAAATCAAAGTGTTTCACAAGGTAGGAAAAGAAGAAAGCCGATTGATTAAACGCACTTCAGGAGCAAAATCCGCAATATGTTCCTTCTCCTGCTCAAGCGCTCCCTTCGACACAAACATGGGAAAGTAGGCATTGTCCACTCCCAGAGCCGCGATCGCCTTGTCGAAGAAAGCCTGAATCTGGCTCCAAATAAAGTAACTCCATGGTCGGAGGATGTAACAGCCTGAGATATCGTAGTATTCCAGCAATTCGGCCTTTCTGATAACTTGCGTGTACCATTCGGCTGTGTCGTCTCCCTTCTTGACTTCCATGCCTAAACTGTGAATAAAAAGGGAGTTGGTTGAATCCTGACACTTCTTTGGATGCTTGAAGACTAGAATATTTAAAAAATGGCAGTACCGCGTCTGTTTCTTCCCCCCAGCCGAATTTTCCGTCTTTTTTACAAGTTGTGATTTTTCCTTGGGTCCTGTGCTGACCAGTTTCATGGGTGCTTCTACACAGGGTGGTTTTGGTACTACAGCAGTAGTTGCAGGAGCGGCTGCGAGTGGAGCTTCCGTGGATTGCATCCTTTGTTCTTGCTTTGCCTTCTCCCGACCAGCCTTCCGCGCAGCCTTCTTCTCCTCCTTCAATCGCTCCTTTTCTGCTCGTTTAGCAGCCTCTTCGGGAGTCAAATTAGCAGACTCCTAGGAGAGGATGGAAGAAAAGAGTTAGGATTTTGCAGCAGAACAGACACGTGGGATCGCCGAGTCGCCCATGATTCTACCTATACGCTGGCAATATGATCCTATGCTATTATTTCTCAGCCCTCCTGTGCGTTGAGGATGCTTTACTACGTGTGCAAACAACTCGAAGGCCACATTAGTGACAGCGTTTGCCAACCAACTCCAAAGGAGCAGTGCCAATTTCGTCAGCTGGATATCAGGTTCAAAGGTCACAGAGAGGATGACCGGGCCTGACAAGACACAACTACGCATTGTCCATGAGGCAAAAAATTCTACTATGCTGACTGGGTTCCGCATCCAAATATCGGGGAAGGAGAGAGAATGGCTGCCATAGATTCCTGAAATCAGGGAGCTTTGAGATCCAACCCAAATCTTCAGCATTAGAGGTAGACCAGATTTGGACGTTAGACTTTAATGAGCTCCTTACGATACTGAATAAGTAAAGTCCCATGTTTCAAGAAGCAAATAACCCAAATAAGCGGTTGGACAACACTGAAAGTGAACTAATCCAGAATTTGGGTTTTCAGTACAGCTTGTTATAAAGCGCGGGCGATTGCGCATGCGTCACTACGAATGGACATGCGTCCTCTCGTGCCCTCTACTAGTTATCCGCTGCTTTGACCCTTTATTGTCTGCCTTAAGAACAGGGCAAAAATTCACTCCAAAACGGAGATGGGAGATGTGGAAGCTTAACACACTTAACTTTAGTGATGAATTGCACAAAGATGCCGCATAACGCTCACGAGAATTAGTCTTGGCAATAACGAAGAATTGTGCCGATATTGCCATTACTGACTCAAAGTTAACAGGTCAAGAATAGCTTTAAATCTAAATCGGCAGAGCAAGCCGCAAAATCCACAAAACACGTGGGTGCTACATGGACTAAAATTTCTTGGTCTCTACCCTTTTTATGTACCTTATAAAAAAACACCTTAGTGTGAGAAGTGACAACGGAACTCAGTTACTAGTCGGCAGGGCCTTCTGTTCATTTAATAGAAGTTTATTTTCGAAGTTACATGCCCCATCTTAGATCCAGAGATAACTCATACGGTACAATTTTATCACAAACGAGCTTACCTTTTGAGCAGACGTGTCTCCCTTTTTCTGCTGTTGTTGTTTGCTGTCACCAGCTTCACCAACCTTAAACTTTGACCCCGTGGTTGGACGCTCCTTTGTTGCGCCATCAGGGATATAAATAAGAACACATGGTGCCTCTCTCCACGTGGATGGACTACAGGAATGGGAAAAATCAAAATCACTTGTTTACGAGATGAAGAATGCCTGGGCTGAAAAAAGCACTCACTGCGAAGGCCTGTAGGGCTGATCACAGATGTAGAATCCTTTGCGTTGCAACTGGATGATATCGCCTTTTTTCAGATTACGAATTTGTGAATCACCGAAGCAGGCCTCCGAAGACTACAACGAACAATAGAAGTCGGCATTAGACAGGCCAATTTGCAGCCAATGTGAGCCTTTATAGTAAGCACCTACCACAGAGTTATGGTTAATGAAATTTTTAAAATCTTCATCCTTTCCGATCAGGGGTTTAGAAATGAGATTACCATAGGTGAGGCAGGAGAGGGGAGTCAGAAGAGCAAGTTCATTACCCACGTTCTGGAGAGTACCTGGATCCGCCAACCACGTAACCTTCTGAGTTTTCTTGTAGTCCTGTGGGGATAAAAGTTGAGGAAGTTATTCAGGTTCAGATATCTCGACTCAATCATAATTGTTATTAGTAAGTGGAGAGGGACAATCTCACCGTGTCTTCCAGATTGAGTTCTGCATCTATGGTGTATATCCTTCCAGCTGTGTTGAGGAAGATTTTGACAATACGGAGATTGCCCCAGTTCACGAAGGTCACGTTATCCCCCTCAGTAAAGCATTCTGCGTCGGCGTATTCAACAAAAACGATGGGAGCCAGAACAATGGTTTTTTCACCCACTGAAGGATTCTTGGGATGCAGAGGAGTCTAGCGGAAAAAAATTGAGTGAATCAAGCCAGAGGTCTTGTCGACGAGGTGCCTTGTAATGAATGTACACCGTCAGCATCACATATACAAGACACCCCAGTTTTCTCATCTAAGCCTGGCGTCACAAAAGTTTTGCATTCTATCAGTTTATGGTAACGGGTTAAATCAAATTGTTACAAACAGATTGGTTGAGTTCAACGACATTATTGGTCTGTGAATAATCACATTTTTTTAGTCCTGTAGAAGTAGTGGAGCTAATCAGATGGAACCCAACTTTTGCAACAGCTTCTGAACTAGCTACATTAATTGCGTCTAGAGTCAGGCACCTCAAAATCGAATCACACACCTTAACATTGACTTTAAGGAGGAAAAATAAAAATCGTGACCACTCTGCTGGTTGTGCAACGTTTTTGCACTCTTATTTGAAAAGTGCCAAGCTATTTACTCCGCTTATTTCAAGAATGTCACAAGATTTGCAGATATGCACCACTCATTTGAAAAAGTAGTTTCCTGCTTCTTATTTTTTTGTTGGAGGATAAACAAAACCATTTGATTCCATCATTCCACTTAAAAACTTGGTGTAGCCATTCATCAGGAAGTACTGAGAGTAGCGATAAAAACAAGGTTTGAGCTATGCAACTTTTCCAGGCGCTTGCGATTCTAACTTCATCGTAATGGCATGAATATCTTTTTGAGGGGTCATAACCAATTTACCTTACGACTTTTTAGGGATAAATCAGGCACTATCTGAGTCCTTATAGAGCAAACGCACATAGTGGTCTAGGAATTAATAGCACATAAAGGAATGGAATATGCGTATGCTAGGTTAGCAGGATGGTTAAGTCGCAAGGAGGATAAGAATTTCAAACAGTGGTTACCTGCTTAGTCACATCTGTCCTCTGTCCTTTTACACGTACTGGAACCACCCCACCTTTGCTGAGGCTCAGAGCCGTGTAGCGGGGTGCCACAGGGTCAATGACCTTCTTGTTAAAAGCCCATATCTTATCCCATTCCATGGTACCAGTTGACTTGCTCGAGCCCTGGGCCAGAATGAACTGGCGAAGACCCTCAGGTGTGAGTCCATGACGAAGGATTCCACGAACAGTAGGCATACGTGGATCGTCCCAGCCGCTCACTAGACCCTGTTCCACGAACCAGGTCAGCTTTCGCTTTGAAAGGATGGTGGATTGTAAAGCCAAGCGAGAGAAATCAATCACGATCGGCTTGCGAATCTCTAGGAATGAAAACGTGAGTTTTCGCTTATCCATTCAATTACATTTTCATCTGTCGTCAAAGCAATTAGACTGAATGCTCCAACCTGGTTATCCACAATCAACCCATCCATCAATAACCAATCCATTCGTAGGCCTATTCAAGCTACAACGAGTCGTCAATCCACTTTCCACTCAGACGGCAATCTTCGCACCATCTGTGCCTTAATCCCTCAACTTTTGGTTCATCTATAGACACCCATCCATCTACCAAATCGCAACATATGATCATTAAATAAATTGAGCAAGAAAAACGCAAACTTGAAAATGAACTCACTGAGAGCATCGCACATCCAGTAGTATTGACAGTTCCGGTCATTGTATTCGGAGGTACGGAGCGCATGAGTAACACCCTCCAAACTGTCCACTATTGGACAGGCAAAATCGTAGATGGGGAAGACCCTGAAAGCAACATGGGAGACAAAAACCATAAACCATTCTTCCAAAAATTCACGAAATACCCTATTCTTTTACCCCATCCCCAGAAAGATAAGGAATGTTAGGAATAATCGGAGTGCACAAGATAAAGCTTCCAAAAAACCACGTGAAACAAAACCCATTGTTCGTGAAAAAGAATACGGCAACAGTAGGCGTCGTCGACAATACTTAGATTTTAACTAAATAATACATTGAGATAGCATGGCTTAATGTAGATCATAGACCACCACTTCATTAAACAGCTTTTATGGTTTAAATCTTTCGTTGCTGCAAAAACCTCACCTCTTTTCCACTAGCATCTATGCCACAGAATTGCAGTCATCTGGAGATTCTGGGTCGAGAAAAAAAACAATGACACGCGAAACTCGGATGAATTGTGAAATAATTCTACCTTGATTTCCAATGAATAATTGCAGATCGAGACGAAAGCTACCAATCAGTTTCTTTACACGAAAAAGGCTTGCATGTCACAAATCTTCCTTATAAGTACGTCGGGCATTTTTGATCCTTTATGAACTTTAATTGTCCTTAATATACGTTTTTCTTCCTCTCATATCCACCTACAACAGTTACGATATTTAAGAGAAGATGGCTACAGGCAACATGGTTACTTAACAGACTGATCTACGATTTGAATCCGCAATCTCAATTCAGACCATTGGAAAAGTAAAAAGAAGGTTTTGTGTGATGTTCATCGCAAGAATTCCAAAAACCCAATTATATCACCAAATAATACAGGTGTGGAGAGGCATCCCAATTTAGTCTTCCAAAACATACAAGAATTACACCTCATTTTCAATATTAAATCAACACTTCATTGGTGTAGGCTGGGAAACGGCACCAAAATGCTAGCCAAATCAGCGAACCAAAGTGGGGAAAGGAGTAAACCAACCAGAAAATTCCCTCGTAGTACGAAGTCGGCACTGCACGTAACAGGCGAAATAAGACGTACTTGTACTTGGTGCCAGTGCGAATGTGCGGCTCCAGTTTGCATCGGTAGATGGTGGGATCTCGCATAGCTCCATTGTCCGATGACATATCGATTTTTGCACGGATACAGGTCTTGAGCCCATGCGCCGTCCCTTCTTGCATAGCTTTCCACATCGCCAAATTCTTCTCAACGGCTACAAAATATAAGCACATTACACGGTGGTCAGACATTGGGGAGAAATGAGGGAGAGCTCTACTTACAGTTATTGCGGCAGGCAGACTCCTGTCTAGCTTCGCGCTGACTCCTCATAGTCTCCAAATCAGTGTCGTCAGCATAGGCCTTGCCATCACTGATCAGCTGAGTACAGAGCTCAATCATGCGATCAAAGTAGTTGGAAGTGTAGCTAAGAGTATCCCATTTAACTCCCAAACGAGGCAAGTCAGTTAAAATTGCTTCCTCAAAAACTGCATTTTCCTTCTCTGGGTTCGTGTCATCAAAGCGAAGAATTAACTTCCCTTTAAAGGTCTCCTGCAATCAGACAGATTCAATTAGAAAATGTAACAATAAGGTCTACCAACCTTGTAATGATAGTTCAGAAGGGCAGCCTTAGCATGGCCGATGTGCATAAAGCCACTTGCCTCCGGTGGAAATCTGACAACTACCTCACCCATTTTGGCATCGGGAAGGTCTTCAAATTTCCCGCCCTCTTCGAACTTCATATCTTTCGCAGCACGACCACTCTTAGGTTGAGTATTGTTGGAAGCGGTACATTTTTGGGGGGTCAAGGGTTGAAGGGGAATCGGGTTCTTGACTAGAGCTTCACCGAGGTGAGTCAGACCCGGGTGTGATCTTAAAAAGTGGCAAAAACGCCTCAAATTCACAAAATTGCCCAAGTTTAAAGGACCACCTTTGATTTTAGAAGTGCAGATTTCGTTCCAATTTTTCGTACCTAAAAACAAAGCCAGTTTCATAAAAATGAGTTATAATAGCATGGATCAGCTTAAATTCCAAACGCTCACATTCCAAGCGGGCCCAGACTGCTATATCAGCGTACGATAATGTGTCTGAGACCAAAAATGACCGGTGAGCAAGAAAATTATCAAGTTCATGTATTGCTTCGGTAAATGTGGAGAGGTTCGACAGCTGCACTCGCGCGAAGCGAATCCAGTTCGCCACATCAACCTACAAGTAGTGCTAGCACATTGGTGGGAATTACCAACTGTTTATTGCCATGACAGGGCTGTATTCCGACTTGACTATGGGAAATAAGCGATTAGGTGATTGACGACAACATACTTAAGGCCGGTAGCAGTAGCACACCCACAAGTATTGATGAGGAAGTCCTGCAGATCTGACTTAACTACAAAGCGTGGTCAAAAGGCCTTGAATGACCTACGAGAATCCATCCCGTCCGACCAACAGCACGCGCAGAAGACCTTAGGGGATCGAATGTAGCGCCCACAACACTGATTCACTCAAATTAGGCAAGAATAAATGAATAGCATATTATTGCTCTACAGAACTATAATTACTGTGTGACTAAATCACACTTAACATTTATGATCTAAGACTTTAGGACGTGCATTTTTTAAAAGAAAACGGCTGCAAAAACCTACTAACAATTCAAGTATGAGGCACAAATTTTCACACTTTATTGAAAGATGCTCATGTATAAATAGTAAATAAAACTGAAGCATCTACGAGTTAATACCATTTTTAAAAGAAAAATGGCTAGCTTCAGTTGCATTTTTCCAAATTTTACAATGCATTGGCGAATGAATTGCTCGTATTGTTCAATTTTTCATTTACAGCTCTTATGCTAATAGCAACCATGGATCTAATTGAACTACAAAGAACTGCTATTTTTCACCGAAAGTAGCCAAGTTTTCCCCATAGCTCTGGTTCGACTCCTGAATGTTGTCGGTATTTCTTATTCAAACAAAACAGTGATTAGGAAATAAGATATGTGGTTCAGCCGATCTGCATTTACCATATTTTCAGTTTTATTGAACTTCGACAAATAACTTGCTTTGGTGTGGCTCGTATCAACGCATCGCATGAAACAGCATATAAGCTGCAGTAATTATATTCCTTTTCTCTTTCCCAAAAGTACATTACTCACAGCAAAAGTGTGGGTCAACAAAATTGCTTTCCATGTGTGGTTTTTGGCTTGCATAGGTGACTGAGCTAATTTCGCACAATGCTTGCCTATGTTCCCACAGATGTGATTCATTTTTATGGAGTCAGTTGTTATATTTGAAAAAAAAATACAAATGCCGTCATGGTGTCAAGTAGAAATTAAGAGTTGGCTCTCTCATGGTAATCCGTAAGAATGTTAACGGCTATTAATTATCAGTTTTTTACTCAGTACTGCTTTTGATGCATTTCAATGACGTTTGCGAAGCGGAATTCACACAAAGGTGCCGATACTGTGGTACTAGGCCCGGTGTCTTACGTCTGTGGCCCTTTTTGCTTCGACGAATCAATACCATGTAGCTTTTGATGAAGAACACATAAGGATCGCACCAAATTTCAACATACGCTATTGAGTACACTGTCATGCACCGCACCTACTTCACGAAATGCCAACTATTACATCATCAAGCGTGATTTTGCATTGTTATAATTTTTAAGCATGCTATAACTGATTACATGAATGCAATGGTGCCCCTAAAAAGTGTCCTCGATCCGATGAATGAAGCATATTCAAATACAGATCGGTTGACAGAGCAAATCACTTGATGCTCCGTGCATGTGATTCTGGAATGGATAACTATCAGATTAAATCTATCCAACCAGTTTATAGTGACCCTATGCTGCTAGAATACATGTTGAGTTGCAGTGGCAGCTCCAAAATAGGGTATACACCTCCCACACCGCTTTTTTTAAGCAGACAATGGCCTCCGAAAAGTTGCGTGCGGGATGCTTTTAAATAGCACCTCGCTTGCGCAAGTCAGTAAAGCTTCCACACATTCAGGAAAACTCTAAAAAGCGACTAAAGAGCTAAGCATGTGAGTACATTTCTCTCGTACCGTTTATTGCTTCTGGTAGTTGGTAGAACGGTAGACTTTTTAAGGAATAATCTTTTAACAAATTAAAAGTTGCTTAAAATTCTGCCTTACTAGGAAGAGTTAACGTGTTTGAGTGGATGATGTGGCCATCACCTACAGTCTGTCAATATGTCGCCAAGTTAAGAAGCTTCATTCCGGTGTTTAATCCTGGATCTGAGCCAACTTTATGGCGCTTTTATCACCTCTGCGGATAATAAATAAGGTATCCCATCTAAAGATGGGTTGGGTGTCTGCTTAAACAAATGCCATGAAGAAGTACGCAAAGGAACGGTTTATTCAAATACCTGTTGAAAGAACAACTTTTCCTTACTCTTACTCCTTTAAACATGTTCATTTTTTGCCTCTAGCAGTTAAAAAAGAAATGTCAAGCGCACCCACGATGTCGAATACTACAAGACAGCTTTCCATTTCAGCCATAATGATGCATCTCGTTGAGGTCTACGGATCTACTTGCCACGTCTTCCTTGTGAAGTGCCATTCGAAGGCGCATTTACGTAGCTTCAGGCCCCGTGGGGGGTCCATTCCGTGCTCCATTCCCACATGTGTGGAAAAGGAGGTAGTTGGTTTTAAACGCCTCTCAATTGAAAGTCTTTAAGAATTCGGCCATCCACAATTGTTGCTTTTTCTTACCACGGTTTGGCATGGTAACCATGCAAACAAACTGGGTGTGCCTGCCATTGGCATCCTTGTAGTGGCCCAGTTTAAAATCAGCTTTATTATAAACGCACAGGAGGGCAGTTAGCATAGATAACAAGGCACCACCATCACAACATCAGGGCGGTAGCCGAAACGCGGCGGCTGGAGACCTCGAAGACTTAACAACACAAATATGGCGGTATAGAGATTGTGAGCACATCAGTGGGTCCAGGGTGGGTTTTTATAGCCTTTAGAAAAGGCGCTCCCGGTTATCATTTTATACACCCATGAATTCGCGTTAAACGATGCAAATCAACATTCTCGGCATTGAATCGCCTTGAAGGCAGTGAATCGTTTATTGAAAATAGTATATCGGTGTCAATAAGTACGTAATTCAAAAATATGATCAAAGCATTCGTTGTAAAAAACAGATAAGGGGAGAGATTAGGAAAAGTAAGAAGTCAACGGGTACGTGTTCGTGTTGATGTAATGAAAGACATTACCAGCCTTACTTCTAATGTTCAGTCCTAAAACGCCTCCATTCGATCGGGTCCCACACTCGACAAATCTTCATCATAGTCCCCGTCCCCTCTCTCATTCTCATAGGAGCGGACAAAGTTGACAAAAACGGAGTCCAATGAGACCTGTCGAACTGCGAAAGTGGTGATCTTACCGGCAGAGCGCAGAGCTAGGAGTTTCTTGAATATCTTAGATAGACACACCTCGCCATGTGCTTCGAAGTTACACTTCTTACCGACCGCATCGGTTAGCGTAATAGCATCGGAAGAAGGGAAAAATTTCTGCGGATTCGGTTCATCAACTCCGAGATCAACTTCTAGAATGTATCCTTCACCGAAGCGTTGTTTTAGATGGGCTACTGTGCCAAAACACTGGAACTGACCGTCCATCATGATGGCTAGACGATTGCATAAAGCTTCGCATTCTTCCATGCTGTGTGTAGTCAGTACCACAGAGCACCCCTCTTTTTGAAGCGACTTTATCACCTTCCATAGACACCGCTTCGCACCTGGATCCATTCCAGATGTCGGCTCGTCCAGAAGAAGGACGTGAGGGTTACCAACTGTGGCCACAGCGGTAGACAATTTGCGTAGATTTCCACCAGAATATGTGTGTACCGGTTTGTAGGCATGGGGACGCAGAGACATTCGATCAATCAGTCGATCAGCCAAAGTGGGGATCACCCTCTCTGGATAGCCATGGATACGCGCAAAGAGCTGCAATGTCTCAAAGCCCGTTAGATGTGGGAGGAGGGCATCAAACTGTGGACAGTAGCCAATCAGATTGTATGAACTCAGTCCCGACTTCTCCGTTATGTTGCAATCACCAATCAGAATCGTCCCGCTAGTTGGATGGATAGTTGTAGTGAGCATGTTGAATGTGGTGGTTTTTCCAGCTCCATTCACACCCAACAATCCGAAGCATTCACCTGGGCGCACGCCAAAGGTTAACTCGTTGACAGCTGGTTTCACCTTCTTGGGATAGCACTTGGTTAGATTGATGGCTCGGACCACATCTTGCATTTCATTCATCGGATCCTAGAGAAAAACAACACCAGCATTTTAATATCGCCTTGGAGAAGCAGTTCGGTTTCGACATAACCCCTTTACCACAGAAGGGCGGATACACTTAAAAAAGAGCCGGCCGAATTTTTACAGATGTTTAGTCTACATTACACTTTTTTGCGACGCCTAAACTCCAGTGCGCTTTTTTTCTCTCCAAAGCAGCATCAACTGCGCAATTGAAATGAGCATGATAATGTTCATTTACCCTAGTTTTTTAAGGGAAATCTGACGCACTTCGGTGTGTTATGGGGGTCAAAAACCAAAAATTGAGGTATTTGGATAGACGTAGCAGCAGTTAGCTTTCACCGCCACTTGACCGTTTCCGAGAGGAAGGGAATAAAAGAATTTTCCGGAGCCGAAAAAAATGGCTTTGTTACCAGTCAGATGCGCATCAGAAACCCCGCCATCTGGGTGGTGTCGATGTTGGAGTGAAAAAAAATGCCCGCAGATTTAAGACATCTTCAAATTGCACGACACCCATTCAAGTCAAGCCGGGACTCGACTGTTAACACCGGTGCACAGGTGTAGAAACGAGAACAGGAGGGTATGCTGGTAAATAAAGCCAACTTCTACCGTTCTAGAATTTCACCTTTTCTTCTGTAAACATAAAAGTATCCTTTTGACACAAACAACCTTTGGATTTGACATTTTACCAGCCAATACAAACAATGATGAATCACCATGATGGTGTAAGAGGGTATCACTTACAAAGGAGGACAATTTTTGTGCCGAAAATTATCTCAACAAGCGATAGCAAACAAAAGGGAAAGGCAGCTATGTGAAGGTCTGGTTATTCATGCCTGACCTCTTTCCTGGTCAACCCTATCGTGGCCTCTGGGTCACGGATAAACAGGATAAAGCGAACAAATCGTGCAGTCATATGCCGGGGCATAAAAACAAGCGTGATATTAGAAAGTTTATGGATGTCAAATGTCATTACTTTGTCTAGCACCACTCCGACCCTCCACACCGTCTCATTAATTAGGTAAGACACGATGTAAATAAATGGGCATTAATTATTTAAGTTAAAAAGATGACAGACACGATTGTTTGTGTCAGTTCAAGAGTTAAAAGAAAGAAGGAAAGGGAATTTTGTTGTGCAAGTGTGCGTCACCCTGTTAAAAAGGGAGGGTTCAATGAAGTCGGAAAAACCCGCGTTCAGATTGCTTGTCACACTTATAAAAAAAGGTATTTCGAAAATTTGTGATAGGGAATGTCTGCCTGTGCTAATACAATTACAGCATAATGGAGAACTGTCTCGAAAAGAGAAGTGCACAGATTTTAACACATACTCCCGACTTCGCCAAACCAACTGCAAAGTAAGACATTAAGTGGGGTATGCAAGTTAAAAAAAGGAAAGAGTGAATGTGGAACTTTGGTGACAGAGAGATGGTTGCACATAATCCACCTATTCATGCTAGTTTAGAATTTAAGCAAGAGTTCCTTCAAACAAAGCAAACAAAAAATCATCAGTTCAAAAATGCTGCTTTTAGACATGGATTAAGGCCATAATATTCAAGCGTATTAGTGTGAGGAGAAAAACACGATCCAGCTTCTCCACTGGATCTGGAATTCATTCGACTATTCAGGGGAAAATGGTGGACCTCGCTTTGTCCATTGCGACAGGTGCATGAAGTGACAAATTCCATTTGATGGAAGAGGAGAGACTCTCAGTGCCACATCAGAGAAAATGCGTCACGTCCTCAAAATGTCCCACTACGCCCCTACCGACCAGTCCATACACCAGCTTGAGCCATCGCTCCACCTTCCGCCACCCAGCTTTGCATCCTCCAACATCATGCATGCCTGTGCTCTTTACGTCGAATGTTTGCCATTCCACCTCACCTCTTTTGTGAGGACATGGGCGCATTCAGATTCACGTTCCTCTCTCTTTGTGCATGCTTTGTTGTTCCTACGTGCCCACACCAAGTTCACAACCTCAACTGACCAGGCGTGTGAAGCCAACAGTGCTTGGCTTTGCAGCCCCACCAGTGCGTAAAGAGCAAGGACCATCATTCTACTATCAAGTAGATCCACCATCGTGTGTCTTGACAACAAGGCAATTTGCCGTCTTCATCAAGTAGGCTCCGTCTGCCTCCTATCCCATGTCACAGGAGTAGGTAACCATGGCAGTATATTGGAAGCATAGAAGTCATTCTTCTCCACCACTGCGGTGGCTTACTGCAAGTCTCCGTGTGCATTCACCTCTACAACAACCTACCCCGCCCCCGGATAGAGGATTCAGGTGGAGTTACTGTGTCTCACCTGATGGCCACTCCAATCAAGGCGTCACCCAACCTGCGTTACAACCCGCGATTCTCTGTTGTGCACCATTTCGTCACATCTGTCTGATCGCCAACGCGAGTAATTGGTGTGGCAAGTGGAGGCACCGCCACCATTGTCGGTGTGGCTCAAATGCAGCCTAATGACATGACATGATGTTTACACAATCATGTTGCATTCCTTTTTCGGTGTTCTAGAGTACCCTCGGGTGCGGTCATGACCATGGACACGTCTACGATCACCACCACCATGTGTGCATTTCATCCCATGGTCATATCACAGTCCTCTCTCCAACACCCACCCACCCCCTCCGCCCCCTCTATCACTGCCATGGCGACAGGCAGTCTGAAGTTGGTTTGAAGTACTGCAAATTGGCGTGCCTACGTCAACGCGCATTGATCACGTCTTGAAGTGGCACCAACGACGAGTGTGCGTGCCTCGTTGGATTGAGTGGGGCTTATGCCATCCACGCATTCCTTCCATTGTCATTCTGCTCAAGCCTCACTCATCTGACATGCACAATGTCATTAAATGAAATGAAGTGGGTGAGGCTAAGGGACAATGAAATGCCGAGGCACTGGTACACAGGCTCGGCCCTCCTTCACCGTCTGTCCCGTGACAGAGATGTGTCGAGCGAATCGCCTTGTGCTCGGAATCCCACGGAATTGTAGATCCTTCCATGTGGTACACTTTCTTTGCTTCCCTGCTAGTTGGGTGAGAACGTGGCAGGCAATCCATCAAGAAAGTGATTATGGAGTCGTGTGGTGAAGGGGTGCATTACCTCTCTGTTTCACCATATTATGCAGCAAATGTCGAGGTGTGGGTGGAATGAGTGACAGTTGTTAGGTGTTTGGTTAGCTGGTTGATTGTGTCGGTTGAAGTAAGGTGCAGGGCAAGAACACTAAGTTAATGTGAACAATTCGTGCCTTCACAGCAAGTCGGTTCCTGTTTTCAG